GGGTCAGGTGCGGGTCATCCGGGAGCCACCTCCGTTTATCCCTCCCTGCTCCCGCCGTGCTGCTCGTCACATCCCGCAGCAGCTCTCTGCACCACTCCTCCTTGCAGGGCTGCTGCGGGATGGAGAGGCTGATGAATAAATCAATCCCCCTCGGTGCTGAGGCTGCAAAACTTGGATGCGAGCAGAGGAGCAGCGCCGGGGCTGGCGACCTGACGGCCGGGGTGGCACCACTTGTGCATTCCCCCCATGCAGCCGCCGCAGACAGAGCTGCTGCAGCCAAGTGGGCAGCTCTGATTGCCTTCTCGGCATGTTTTATTTATCAAAGCGCTCAATATGCAGCTCTCTCCCGCTGTCCCACATTTTCCCCAGATTCTCCCGCCTGGAAATGGGAGCAGCGGTTTGGAGCGGAGCCGTGGGGCGCTGCTGGCTCCTCCTGGGCTCAGGGAGCAGAGGTCCCTTCGTGTCCCTGCCCTGGGCTTAGGTGAGCCGGTGGCATCGCGCTGCCACCCGGCTGCCACTCGGCTGCCGAGGAAGGAGAGGGGTCCCTGCTGCGAGCGGAAGGACAGCGCTGTGCGACTGGCCTTTGCCGAGCTCAGGGAACACTTTTAAAGAGCAGCCAGGCTTTTGGTCCTCCTCCTGAGCTTTGCCAAGAGCAGCGGTGTCCCAGGCAGATGCCGGGCGCCGCAGAGGCTGCTGCGATGCCTCCGTGCATGGCAGAGGATGCTTTGACCCGGTCCTGGCCGAACTGTGGCCGCTGTCGCCGGCTCATCCTGGCTCCTGCTCGCTTTCCTGCATCGCCTCCGGCTGCCTGTGCCCGAGGAGCAGAGGAGGGAGCTGCAGGGTGCGCTTCTGCTGCCTCGCTGCTAATAAATAAACCCCAGTAATGAGTTGGGCTCTGGCGGGCGGGCAGGTTGTGGCAATAATCCCCCAATTAAGTGGATGAGGCAGACGGTTAAGTGCAGAAAACCCACAAATAAACAAGAAGGAGAATAATATAGGAGCAGGGAGGAGCTGGTCCCTCAGCCTTTCCCCCGGCAGTGCCAGGAGCACTCTGGGAACTGTAGTTCTGCCTTCATCCTCTGCCGACATCCTCCTCTGGAGGGACCGAAATCCCTCCTTTTCAGCCCGTTCCTCCCGTTGCACCAGGGCTGGGCAACCATGAAACACCAGGACAGTCAGGTCTGGGGATGTGGAGCAGGACAGGAACGTAGATCTGACGGGAGCCTGTGTGCACAGAGCATCCCTGCCGAGATGGGAGCCCGCAGGGCTCCGAGAGAGGAAGCCCTGCCAGGCAGAGAACCCTTGGGGCTGTCTCCATGTGTGGAAACCGAGGGATGGAGATGATGCAGCTGTGGGACGGCTGCTTTGCCTTCTCACCCCTGCCACGCACGTGTGAGCATCCCTACCCTCGAGCTTCCTCCGGGTGGGAATATCGGCTTGGAGCGCCTGACAGAGGGTGCACTGTGCAGGATGGAGCTGTGCAGGGGCCATGCTGGATGCTGGCACAGCTCAGGCTTCCTCCTGGAGCCCCAGACGGACCCAGAAACCTCCATGAGAGCAAATGCCTCCCGGCTCTATCGACCGCGGCCGTGGCTGTGCGTGCCTCGTGCTGGACTCGCAGGGATGATCAATACCTGTTTTTCTCCCCAGCCTTCACCTCGCTAATGGGAGCCACCAGCCCTGCCACTTCCCCAGAGCTGCCAGGAGGAGATGGCCGTGGATGGGCAGGAGTTGGACCCACTGCTCCTTTGCATTCTCAGGGTAAGAGTGCCCAAGAGCTGCGGTGTTGTCACATCCTGCGGCTCTGCTGGTGGCTGCTGAGGCCACGGGGACAGCGGACACTGGTCCCCAGCTGGCACTGGGATAGCTGTGATTAGTATAAATAAACATTTTGGAGCAAAGGTCCAAGGGCTGTGGCGTGCTGGGGGTTTGCTCCCTGCAGGGCCAGGTTTCACCCTTCATGGCAGCCGGCAGTGGCTGTGCAGCTGCAGCGCAGGAGGAGCTGCAGCTCCACAGCTCTGCCTGTGCCACCGCAGGTGCCTGGGAGGATGTCCCCACCGTGTGTGGGTGGAAGAGGGAAGCCCATGGTGCCAGGGGCCAGGCTGCAGTGCCAGGGGACACGATCCCAGCCTGCCTGGTGGCAGGGCTGCTGATGGTGGCACCGCGGGGGTTTTTCCTGTGCTGGCAGCAAAGGGGGGACTCATGAGAGGCATAATAATAATCCCCACGTGAAGGATAAGAAAAGAAGCTATTTCAGTATTGCCTCCTCCGCCTGGTGAGCCCACAGCCAGGCCTCTATCAGGAGAGGGAATGCAGATAAATCAGCCATTCTCCTTAGGAATATGAGCTTATACCTCTCATGTGGCACCGAACCTTGGTGGGAAAAGGTGCTGGTTCCTGGTGAATGCTGGGGTACAGCTCGTCATACAGCCTGCCCACCATCCCAAACATTGGGCAGGAAGTGCCTGGCATCAACTCAGCTTTCTGGATCCCTGTGATGGATTTCCCAGAGAGAGCAGCAATTCCTGGAAATTTTCTTCTCTGTGTCTGTGCACGCAGTAACTGCGAGCTGAACTCCTTTAGTGGAGAAAGGAAAAAAAAAAAGACCAAAAGGAAATTGAAGAGATTGGGGTTTTGATGCCTTTTCCTTTGAACGCAGGGACTTGCAGAGCTGGGCAGTGATGGGTGAGGGGCTGTAGGATGGAGCATGCACACTTTACACCATATACATTTGGGAAAGCCAAGCCAGCCTGCATGTGCCCTCTGTCCTGTTTTGGAGGGCAGGAGCTGCCCTTCATGCCAGACTGCAGAAGATTGATGTGTTTTTGAAGGCAAAACAGAGTTTTTGCCCTGAAACGGTGTGGGTGCCTGCTCCGAATGCTAAGCAGCTCCTTGGAAAGCAGTTTCAAAGCACAAAGGGGAGCAGAATGGGGGAGCAGAGCAGTCAGCCACCTCCTATGGCCCCTGGAGACTGCACTGTCCCTTCCCAAAAATCACAACAGATAATCAAACTCATCGGAAAAATCCCCCAAGAAGTCTGGCCCATGCTTCTGGGGGTCTGGCTGGTGGAATCCCTCCTCAAGAGGTCACAGCCTGTTCTGTGGCCAAGATCCCCTCCTGGAGGATCATTCTGGGGGGGGCTGTGGATTTATTCTGCAGGCAGCTGCCACGAGTGGGACCAGCTGTGCTGGTAGGGCAGGAAGCAGAGAAGTGCATGGGACCTGTCCCAGGGGTGTCAGCAGCACCCTCCCTCATGGCTGCACCCCCCAGCCACCCCAAAACTCCCACAGCGTCAGCACCATCCCAAGTGTCCTTGTTAGGGTGGCACAAGAGCATCTCCTGTGCCCCTAAATTGCCACCCCATGCCCGGAGGGCTTTCAGGGTTGGGATCTGCACGGTCAGCCCCGAAGTGCTCCCTCCACAGATCCTCCCACCTGCCTCTGCCAACTAATGGAGGTGATTTTCACCTCCTTTCATCTGGAAAACCGACGGCAAAAGTCATCTAACAACTTCCCTGGCAGCAGAAGCGTTGAAGAGGTTTCTGTCTCACATTCACGGCAGGTCCGTGCTGCCCAGGGGAGGATCGGATCGCTCTGGCTCGGGATGCAGAGCAGCACCTGGCAACCCCTGTGGGTCCCGACCCACACTCAGCGGGGCACTGGGACATGCAGCGGGGGCAGACATCACCCACCCTCGCCATTGCTTCTCCTCCATCCTCCCCTGTGCCTGCCCTGGGAGAGGCGATGGGTGATGCAAAAATAGCCGACATCATTCTCAGACAGCAAACATCCCAGGAATGATGTGAAGAAGGGAAAAGAGTTCAGGATAGTGGATGCGCCCTGTACCGTGCCTGAGCACAACCTCTCCTGGTGGTGGAGATGCCTGTGAGCATCCACTGATGGAGACACCTCTGCCTGGGGATGGGAGCATCATCACAGTGAGGGGGATGCTGATATGGGATCCTCAGGAGCTGCTGTAATCTCATTCCAGGAGCAAATCACATTCCCAGCAGCCAAGGACATGTTAGGTCTCAATAAAAATGGTAATTCCCAGCAGATTGAGTTGCAAACAGGGAAGGTGGCTGTAGCTTCCCATTTAAAGCCTTCTCCAGTGCCCATGGGGAGCGTGGTGGTGCTGGAGGAGGCAGAGGGCTGCACTGAAGATGAAGGATTTGGGAAGTAGGAGCAAGAGGTTTCTGCAAAACCCCAGCTCCTCCCATCCTCTGAGATGTAGCCTCAGGTCCTTGTCTGCCTAATCCCTGCCCTGACGCTCACCCGAGTTGCCCAGCCATGAAAGCCAGAACTGTTTGTTTGCAGTTTCCTAGGAGAGAAATCACGTTAAAAAAAATTAATTACACACCTGAAAACAAAATCTGGCTGCTCAAGTGCACATCAGGGATAAATGGTGTGCTCCAAATGAGACAATTTACAGCTTGGGTAAGTAATGAAGGAACCCAGCCAGGCGTGAAAGCAGAGGGGGAGAGTAACCCTGGGGGAATGTGGGGTTCTTTTCTCCCTGCTCCCTTTGTCCTCCATCCCCTTCGTCCCTCTGACCCCCTTTTCATTGCTGCTTGCTGGGAAACCCCCATTTACTCGGCACTGCTGGCTGGAGTGGGTCCTTGTGGCCCCAGCCTCGGGAGTTCAGCAGGGATTTTGGATGAGTATGAGCCCCTTTAGAGCCTGGAGATGGGAACGGGGCAGGTAACGGAGCAGAAGGATGTTCAGTGCATCCCAGGGAGCGAAGGGCTGGGTGGGACATCTCCTCCCGTGGGATCCCAGTGAGCAGAAGTGTCCAGCGTGGGGGTCCCTCGCTGCACCCCGACCCTCCTGGCATCCCCCAGCCCACACTGGCCTCTGCAGTGCTCGGTGTGCGGTGTGTGGGCGGGCTGGCAGCACGCAGCCGAGGAACGGGCAGCAATCCAGGCTTGCTGGCGAGAAGAAAATAATTTCTTTCCCTTATTTTTCCCTTTACAGTGTCCCAGCCCAGGCTGTGAGTGTGGGGATTTAAAGGGGCTGTGTCCCAGTGCCATCACGCCGGGTTAGTGGCTGTGGGGATGGTTGATGTGGCTGGATCCGGGAGGTGGGGCTGAGCTCCGTGGGTGGGCTGGTGGCTGTGGGTTCTTCCTGGCTTGCCTGCAGCAAGGAACCGTCCATGGGGACTTTTGCTGCCCTGGGGCAAAGTTAAAGTGTGGGCAGCACCCGTGATGGGTGAGGAGATGCCCTGTGCCTCTCACATTGCCCAGGGGGAAGCCTGGAGCACAGCAGCATCCCAGGAACCCACAGGAATCGAGCCCTTCCTCCACCCACGCCCCTGTCTGTCCCCTGTGTGCTGCCCACCAGCTCGGGCAAGGGGCAGGATCCTCCCAGGCGCCCCAGCTGCCGACGTGTGATGGTGTTTGGGGCTGGGGGCAGCCTCCCTTCTCCCCTCTGTGCCCCACTCCCACCTCCGCTCGGGGCCGGCTCGGAGAGCAGCCAGCTGATGCTGTGAGCTGCGGAGCAGATGGGGGGACCTGACGCTGCGCTCCCCGGCAGCGGGTGAGGCATGCCGATGGCTGTGTGGAGACGCGGAGCCTCCTGGCCTGCATCCCCTCCACCCCCACCACTCGTTCGGCGTCTCCATTCACAGCACCCCCGGCCCCACTCACAGCACCCCCGGCCCGGCCGGCAGCCGCGTGTGGAGGGCAAGCCTGCACGGACAGACGGACACGGGGGTGTGGACGGTCCATGCAGCCCTGCCTGCGTGCGGGATGGCTCCAGCTCGACCTGCGAAAGCCGCCGTGTCCCCGAGTGATGCGGCAGTGCATGAGCTGCTTTGGCCTCATCGTGTCCCCGCCGCTCCTTGCGCTCCTTTGCGGCCGCGGAGCCGCTGCGCCCGTCCGGGGCGCGATGCTGAGCGCAGAGGTGGGAGCAGGGCTGGGACACTGGCCCAGGGGCTGCACTTGCCCAGCCAGATGTGCTGACTTCAAAGACCACAGAAGGGATGCTCTGGGATGCCGGCAAAGCTGCTCTCGCCCTGGGAAGCACCAAGAGGAATCAGTTTAGCTCCTGCAATGCCCGTGAGCGCTTCTCAGGCTAAGAAACGCTGTGAAATGTGAGCTGACAGAAGCAGGACAGTCTGACTCAGTCCTACTCCACCTCCAAAACCTGTGGAGAGCTGGAAGGTGCAGGGAAATTTGGGGTTTCATGATGCCCAACACAACCACATGCCCTGGGGGGGCTGAAGCAGCCCCGGTGGGAGTGGGAGCAGAAAGGACACCCCTCTTCAGCCCAGCCCCGCAGCTGTAAACAGCTCCAAGAGGACACAAAATCTGCCCTTCCCGACATGGGGATGAGACTGTCTGCACCTGCAGCATCACTCCCTCAGACCCTCTGTGCCACTGCAGCAGCACCGTGCAATGCTGTTATCTCTAATGCCTGGGAGCGGGAAGGAGATTAATATTCATCACAAGGGAGCGGAGCATATGGAATATGAATAATGCTAATTGTGTCTGTATAGATTTAGTGTAAGAAGCTCCCATGCATTAAGGAGGGAGGGAATTAGTTCTCTGAACCGTTTCAGACTCATTTCTGGCAAAGGAGTGCCTGCCTGCCCGCAGGTTTGGAGGCAGGGGTGAAGGATAAAACTTGTGTCCCGTGCCTGAGTGCAGGAGAGGCTTGGGATGCAGGGCGGCTGTGCAGGGGAGCACAGGCACCCTGTGCCTCCCAAAAAACACAGTGATGGAGCAAACTCAGTCACTGCAGGTGCCAAGGAGGAAAAGGGGCTGCCTGTAGCCCTGTGAGCCACACAACCATGGGTTGCTGCAGCCCTGGAGGCGACTGTAAGCCTGCTGTGCCTGGGCTGCTTTTCCACGTGTGTGGCCCCCCTGCTCTTGGATCCCTGGGGCCAAGAGTAGTGCAGGGCTGGCACTGCTCCTGCCCTAGGTGAGTTTATCTGCCCCCAGGTGCATGGCAGGCAGGGAGCTGGCAGGAGGCAGTGCCCTGTGCACTGGGGGTTGGACTGGTAATGAGACGCTGGGGTTAGAAAACTTCATGCCTTAAACATTCATCCCATTTGCCTTCTGGGGATGAGGGCTGGTGCCCCATTTTAATTGAATCAGCTCATGGCTTTAATGAGGTGAAGAGGAGAAGGCTCATTTGCTCAGCCAGGCAGGGAGAGCAGGCTGGGCACTGCAGGTCCAGGGCTTTGGCAGAGCCCCCCCAGGCCCTGGTGAGTGTGTTCCCTCCTCATGTGGCATAGGCTGACTCGTGGCAGTGTCACCTTGGTCACAGGGAACGGGAAGAAAAACAAGAACAAGCCCCCCCCCCCGCAAGGCAACGGGCCGAACCTCCCCCCGGGGCCCAACAACGCAAAAGGGGCCAAGCCGGAAAACCCTCTTCTGCTGTGCTCCCCAGAGATGGCCCTGTGGCAGCAGAGAGCTCAGGAAGGGCTGGGACCTCCCTCTCCTGCAGACTGGAGCTGGTCAGGGAGATTTGGCAGCCTCAGGAGAGGATGGAAAAGCCCTGGGGTCCAGCTGCTCCCTGGGATGCCCTCTGGCACCCCTGCAGCTGCAGTGGGGGATGCTCCATGCCTTTCCCCACGCTCTCCAGGACCAGGAACTGCAATTGTCTCAAGCTTGACCATTGCCCTCTTCCTCCCCTCTCCTCCCATCCCTGAGAACGTGATTCCTCTTCCTGCACTTTGATCTCTCCAATTTTTAGCTCGCTCTGGCTGCTTTATAGGCACTAATCCCTCTGCAGGCACTGGGGAGAATCCACCTACACTCCATGCAGTCTTAAGTCTTATTGTGTAAACAAAATCTCAGACACGAAATCCTTAATCCTTAATGGTTGGAGCCTCGGATACCTGTTCCCCCGTGTCCTGCCCGATGGAGGATGGAAGAGGGGGAAGGTCTCTGCCATATTTGCTCCCTTCCTCAACCTCAGCACAGATTAAACATCTGTACATGCTTTTTTTCCCCTTTCTTCCTGGCTTTTCACACTGGTGAGCCACCCTGGCCCCCTCCCTGCTCCACTGCATTTGTTCAGCTTAGGGGATCAAACTGGGTGACATTTGGAGTTGGGATATTTAAAATGCAAATTTCCTCTGGATAGATAAGTGGAATTTGCTCCCTCTTATGAAGGGAATCTCTGGGGAGAGCCGAGCACTACGGCCAGCCTGCTCTGAATGTGAAATGCAGCCAGGGGAATCCCTGCCTCCCCCCAGCCTGGCACTTGTGGGAAACACTGGTGCAATAACAATAATCACCCTCTTGACCACGGAGGAACCCAGATTTCCCCCAAACACAGTGAGAGGTAGGAGCTGCAGAGCCGGAGAGAAACCTGTGGTGTTCCTGGATTACAGCCAGGGAGGGAGAAATCTCCGTGGCTGGTGGTGCAATCCCAGAACTGATGTTTTCTCCCTCTGCACCCAGGGTGCTGCTGATGTATTTGTCTCTCCCTCCCAGCTCGGAAATTAAAGCTTTCGCCACTTTTCTTGCTGCAGAGGAACAAATGTGTGTCTGAGAGGGAGATTTACACTTTGCTTTCCTTTCTGGAAATGGAGTGTGATTTTCCAGTGACTGCAGATGCTGGGCCTGTCCTGATGCCTTGAGAGGAGCTGCTGGGTGGGAGAGGGAGCCCCTCCACCCATCCCAGGCTGCTTCAGCAAAGCAGGTGGGTTTACAGCCCAGAGGGTTTGGATGAGAGGGCTGCAGCCCCATGTTTCCCCCTCTGCACTCACGTAACTCCTCGTGCCCCCCTTTTTCCTCCCCCTTCTCGGTGCAGGCTCCAGGCTGGGCTGATTCACCTCCTGGCACGGCTGTACTCAGAACCTGCTAAACCTCCACCAAGGGAGAAGTGGAGCATCTTTAGGGAAAAACACTCGATCTGCTGCCAACCCCATCCAGGATGAGACTGCAGGCACCAGGCTGCACACGGGGGGCATGGCAGTGTGAAATTACAGCAGGGCTGGCATGGAGAGGAGCAGCCCTGGGTTGGGAAGGCCTGGGAGGGCTGGGGAGAGTTCACCTGGAGCCATTAATATGCATCAGCTTCATCCCTGCCTGCCCACAGTCCCCCACTCACGCAACAATCACTTCAAGCAAAGGGGAAAACCATAAAGCAGAAGAAGTTCAGGCAGCTCTTTGAGCTGGTCCCGGGTTCCTGCAGTGACTGGGGGCTTCCCACAAACCGTGAAGCACCGAGGAATATCTGGAACGTCATAAATATACTCTGGGAATGAAGGAAAAGGGATTTGAATTTCAACTTTGATGCATAATGTGCTTTCTCTAAAAAAAAAGAAAAAAAAAAAAAAGCAAAACAGCCTTCTTGGCAGGGACCAGACAACTTCACACTAAATCTCCTGCAGGAGCACGTTGCCAATTGCAGAGATAAAACCTCAATGAAACACAATTAGTTTCCACTTGGATTAGCCAAACTCTCGTCTCTCCTCCCGCCCAGACACCCCGGCAGCGGGATGGGGACCGCTCAGTGCCAGCCCCTGTGTCCCCAGCCCTGCCCGCAGGAGGATAACTCTCTTTTCACGGCTAAGGGGAGCTGACAAGTGATGAATACACGACCGCCGGAGCGCTGCAGGGCAGCTCCTGCCATCTCACCGAGGCTCAGCACGGCTGCTTTGCTGCGGTTCTCTGAGCTTTGGAGCTGGTGGGGAGCCTGGGGCAGGGTCTCCATGTTATCCCCTACGGGCCAGCCAGTTTGGGCTTGGGACATGGCACTGCTGCCTCCTTATCCAGCTCGGTCCCAAAGGAGGGACGAGCACACAGAGGGGACATGCTGGCGGCAAAGGCTGCTGAGAGATTTTTGCTTTAGGCAGAAATGTCTCAGATATTGTATTTTTTTTTTTTTTTTCCTTACGGCTTATAAGCTGGGAGGTTGTCTAGTCTAGGAGCTTTAGGTTTAAGCATCACTCACGGTGGCGATGTCTCACCCCTGTTTGCCCCTGACTCCTTGGTGTCACTCTGAGCCCAGACATGTGTCAGGCTCACTTGTGCTGCAGGCACATTTTTGGAGCAGGCTCACACCTTCAGGCTGGGTCACGGT